TCATTGTATTGTGTTTGAAACTGTGCACTACAAGTCATAGAAAAGGGTCATTTTCCATTATGCATGATTTCACAGAAAGAAAAGTTGACATAAAAAAAACCAACTCAATAACAATCTGCTGCTTAATGAAACTTTTCGGGGGTTTGATTTGACTTATCTGGCGCACAGTACAAAGTAACTTTGTTCACTTGTAAAAAGGCAACTGTGGACAGTCTCAATTTGTCCTCCAAATGTGCATCATTTTTAGCAATCATTTCAAATGCAGCTCTCCCTCTGCTTCTTGAATAAGAACTGCATGTTTATTTTACAATACATGTCTACATTTATTTGCTGACAGTGGGAACCATAATTCTTGTTGCCTCCTGAGATTGTAAATTGACAATTAGAGGTACTAAGACAGTGGATAACTGTCATTTACACAGAAGCACTGGGGAACAACAACAAGCCTATAGAAAACAAGCAATTGTGACGAAAGATGGACTGTGGTTGATGCAGCAGCTGCCTGTCTGGCAAAACAAAACAGGCACTCCAGCATGCAGGCAGAAACAACTCATTTTCACCCGAGTGTGCACTGATTAAGTTGTTATGACGAGTCCTTGAGAGGCTTAAGTTTTCCCGACTGCTGTGTTCCTTCCCTCGACCATATGCCATTACTTAATAACTGTAGCAGTGTGAGAGAGAGAGGTGGGGAGTGACAGAAATACTTGCTGATGGGGAGCCAGTGATTACTGCAGTGATTTGGCCACTCTGCATAGATTATAATTGTTGATGCTGAGTCAAGGTGTAGTAGGATTCTTTTTTTTTGTGGTGACATTGTCACAAACACCTGCATTTATCTTTGTGTCAAAAAATTGCCAAATGCAGTGAGAGGCAATCCCAGTACGTTCTTTGTCACTCAGAGGATAAAAAGAAAGTGTCACTTTCATTCCTGTGAGCCTGGAGTCTTTACAATGTCACTGGTTAATTTAACCTTGAGTTTATGCACAGACATAATGCTTCCCATCATGGGTTGATAGTTGTAGCTCTTGATGGTGACCCATCTAACTGCATGGGTTTTAAGCAGTTTCTGCAGTAAAGACATCGGGAGATGCTTTGGACTTGTTTTCACTTGTCATGACACAATTTTCTCCATGGCGGCAAAACACAATCCTTCAGAAACTGTTGTAGGTTTAACTGGCTTAGCAAAACACTTGAGGGCTGACTATCTAAAAGTCACACTATAAACCGAGTTAAAAACGCTAAGCATGCCACATTAAGGCTACAAATAACCCATAAAAACAACACACTCTGCAGTCAGTGTTAGAGCAGTACTCTCGCCATTCAAAAAGAATATTGTCTGGTCCTTTAATTGTCAGACAATCCCCACTTTTCCAAACATAATTTCCATAAAATACATTGGGCCAATACTGTACATTTATGTGTAAAAGATTATGTATACTGTATATGCAGCTTTGCATTTTTTTTTAAAAGTTTGAGCTTCTATTCCTTCTCCCCTATTTATGTCCACGTTTTACAACCATACCTCACTAACAGCTCCTAATTGGCCGTTGGGCTAAGCTGAAAACAATGAAGCATTGATTTCCTTAAACATAATCACCTCATCCAGTCATTTAATGACTGCTGTCACTGTGAGCCGCCAAGAGAAAAATGACCAATCAGTGGTCCCATCGATGCCCTTCACCTCCCCTTACCAAAGGCTAGAGTGCACAGCCACCCACTCCATCTTAGCAGTTTGGTTTAACCCCTTTAAATGCCTGACAGGCTCCAAGCACTACATCCATCACAACCTGCGACAACAACTTGAGACATGACTTCAAGTTGTTGTGGTCCCATATTGTACTATAATGCACACACAGTTCCTAACTGCCGTGCACTTCAGCATTTCAGCAGTATGTATGGATATTGTAGAATACCCAAAAATATCATATGCATAAACACACAAACCTACTCATGTGGGCACAGTGACACACACAAACCCAGACAGATTAAAAAACAATAGCTACCTGAATGGGATTATGTGTAGTCCAAGTGACAATTTGTCGTCTAAGTGGCTCTCGTGACTGGCCCAGTAGAGTCATCGGAAAGCCATTTACACTGCTCTCTCCTCCACATACCAGATGGTTCATAGTGATCACGCCTAATGTCCACCTGCCTGATGGTTGGACCTCACCCCCTAGCTGATACACAGACACATAAGCACATGCTTGTGTGTGTGTGTGTGTGTGTCTGTCTGTCTGTCTGTCTGTCTGTCTGTTAGGATAACCCCCAACTCTAATGGCAATCATTATAATAATCTTAATAATCAAAACAATATGTTCATCCAACTTACCTGCATTCAGTCAGAAGTCTAAAAGTAAGATATGCATAGGAATTTTTAGTGCCTGAAGTTCAAGACTCACAAACCTTGTACTCTTCACATTACTGATGGTCATTTTACAAATTGTACCATGTTTTCTTTTACAGTAGATTGCTGAATGTGCCACACACTTTTAGTACAGGTTGAAAATCATCTGGCAAGTACTTGCTTGATGTAGCGTAGGTTATCATTGTTCTGTTTTTGTTTTGAGTTGTTATCATAACTTCAGATGAAATTTATATTTTAATGTGATGTAAATGTGATGTAATTTTATTTAATGCTTTCATAATTCTGTTTGGGCAAATTCGTATTTCATGCTTCATCCTCCCAACTCCCGTCATACCATGGAGCATTTCCTTTGTGGTGGGCTTCCTTCTAAACTACAATACTTGCAAGTCATATATTGCCCAGTCTTCAAAAGTTGACGACTACTTCCTGTACAACATTTAGAATGGAGCGTGGTTTTAGTTCAGCAGTGGAAGATGCTTTCGAATCAGCTGATTGATGTCTTATCTGATACACTTACCAACACTCCTTGCTGCAACAACTTTTTTCACCACCCCAACCTCCTTTATCTTACTGAAGCTTTGTTATTGTTGACGCTTATGTATGTATGTATGTATGTTTACAGCTATACCTGCTTAGGTACTATTTTATGTAACAGGGGATTAGTTTTCCCAGCATCCCATTTGCAATTAATGGTCAATTTGTGGACTTATGTGCCTTTGATAAAAATAGGGAAACACACAGTTTGGAATATTTGATACATACAAGCTACATAATGCTTCTCTAACTTAAGTTTCAGTGATGAAAATGAATCAAAGTCCCAAATCAGGACAGGTCATGTGACAGTGAAATAAGTGATATGAAGATGGGGTGTTGCCTTTTATTGTCCCTTGTCAGATTTTAGTTGGTTACACCTCTGTTGTGCTAACCTGCAAATCAAGGCATTGAAGCTAGCTGAGGGGATTCAAGCCAATTCAGTATTCTGTGACGCAACGCAAAATCCTCACTTATTCAGAGATCTCCTTTGACTTGAAAGCAAGTCTGCAGGTCAGGAAACTGTCAGTAAAATATTCAACAAGCCAACACATTGTGGGGTTTGGGGTTTTAGCACACTCAAGGGATTTTTCTCTTCACTTTTATAGTCTCTTTTCTACCTACTCTGGCCCAGAAATATCTAACAACAAGCGTTGAGAGAGTGACATTAATACTGCACGACAGCACGGTCCAGCAGGACTGCAAATGTTTGCCTTTTAATCCAGGACTCGGCGGCCTTTGGTCTGGCCACGGCAGACATTGATGGGAATGGGAGAGGAAAACTGTTGCCAAACTTGTCGAGGCTGCTGGGAGCTCAGTTCCGTAATTCATGACCCAAGCCATTGCAAACATTTGCACAGCCTACCCAGCTAGAACACCGGTTGTTGTCATGCCAGTGGAAGCAAATGCATCTTCTAACTGCAGCAGGATGTTCTCTTTAAAACTTGGTACGGCCAAGACAAATAAGACACAAACAAGATGAAATGTGGCATTTCGTTGTCTCCCCTTCTTTTTGCACATCTATTCACTCTGTTGATTGGAGTGGGTAAGTTCAACTCTCCTCTCCTCTCCTCTCCTCTCCTCTCCTCTGTCTGAGGGTGAGCTCCAGTTTAATTGTTGGATGCTGGTGTCTGTTGCACTGGCTGTCAAAGAAAGATAAAGAGTTTTTCCTGGGGCGTAAGGAAAGAAGAGAGCGGTGATGGAGGGCCTCTCTCCTGCAGCTCTGCTGGCTGCATTAGCCCCACGCTTTATAATTGTGTGAAGGGGGCACTTCCAGTGGCTCCCTCATTACTCACTGGCATGGCCAGTCCCTGGCAGCCAGACACACCTTGTCCTCTAGCTCTCTCTCTCTGCCTGTCTCACTCATTTCAGGATGTCCCTCAGCTCCATCACCCCCTCTCCCTCCCCTGGGCAATCCTCCCTATTGTTATTTTGACCCAGTACTGCCATCGGCGCATATTGCCTTCTCTTTTCACTGAATTTTTTTGACATCCTCCTTTGTCAGACCCAAGACCTATTGTACAGCATTTGCTCTGACTGAAGTCACCTATGCTTAGGAGTTAATGCTTTAGTATAGACTGTATTGGCTCAGTCACGGGACTAAAATTTGTCAGCCATCTAAATCTATGACTGACGCCTATGACTGCCAGGTCTTCACTGGTGAAGATCAGACAGCAGATTCATCACTTTTTAATCATAATGACAACATATGGAAGACATCAAGGATGCAAAGGCAGGCACATTAATACACAGCAAGTGCATGATGTGATCTTCATCATGGACTGATTGGTATGGAGTGAGGACAGCCAGCACTGAGTGAGAGGCAATTAGAAGACATAATTGAGATGCCTCGAGGGCCAATTTGTTACACATACTTACAGTGTAAGTGCCCAGTGATTGTACTGCAGCGTGCCTCACATGATATCATGTGAGGTAGTCAAGTTTCCTGATTTTTGATGTTGATAAAAACACATGTACGGTCAGTTAATGAAAAGTTACGGGACCTTTCAATGTTGTTGCTTCAGTTCATTTTCAGTTACTTGTTTCCTGTTGATCTCTCACATGCACTGACCGTGTACCTTTGTGTCTGTCTATCTGTCTGCAGAGGGAGGTACATGTGAGGTGATTGCTGCCCACCGATGCTGTAACAAGAATCGTATTGAGGAGCGCTCTCAAACAGTCAAGTGCTCCTGTTTACCGGGGAAAGTGGCTGGGACGACACGCAACAAACCCTCCTGTGTGGATGGTGAGGAAGTCTTATGTTTTAACATTGTGCTGCTGTTGACTACTTATTACTTAGGGCTCTTGTGAGAGAAAAAGTCCTTGCCTATTTGATACTTTTTGTACCTAGTCCAATATCCCTAGGAATTATGTACGCAAAACATCCAACAGGCCAACATTCAGTGCCAACGCAGGAAGTGGTGTGCCCTTCAGAGAGACTGAAAGTAACTTTATTGATGCCTGGGTGGTTGATGCTGTGTCGCGTGTTTGACTTTCATGCAAGAGGCCGGAGTTTGCCTGTTGTCACAGACCTGCAATCAGCATTCATGTTTTTATTTGCCCTAACTACAATCTTTCAGTTACCTTAACTATACTGGACTTGCCATAGCAGATATTATTGAAAGCAAGAATGTTAAAGACATTGGCAGTGGATGTAAAGAGAAAATTGCAGAATAATACAGTACTGATCTATTTCTGCCTATAGATTTGTTTTTTCCAGTAGTCAGTAATTCTACAGAACGTTTATTTACAACAACACGTTGCATATTTCTGGTATAGAAAAAGTATGCATGTCAAATTAAAAATAACCATGACCCTGTCATGAAACAAAATCAGGATATTACTTACATCTTGTTAACAAAGTGATTCCAATGAAAGATCATCTTAATAATAATCAAGTAATTTGTGTTAGGATAGAATTCAGAAAATATGCATTGTTACATCAGACTAAGGGGGAAAAAACTGAGAAGATGTTACTGCATATTTCTGTTGATAATTATAGTATTACTTTGACTATACATGCATTTTTGAATAATTAAGAGATTACTAACTACAGCTATCTACATGACATGTGTGATATGGATTTCAAGGCGTCAGGTTTAAATTTATTATTTCCAAAATACTTATTTTTCACATGCTTTAATAAGCACCTCAGACAAAGACCTACAACATATTCCAATATAACTTTCTCTGCTGTATGGCTGTGATTTTTCCAATAACAAAAATACATTCAACCATTAACAACCCAGTAGTGCTGTGCTGTTGGGCATCATGGGAGATAAAGGATGATCCAATTGGGCTGTTGAACACCTGAATAGGGAACACGTTGCAGATGACATCGCCTAAGGCAGCTCAGGCTGATGGAAATGAATAACTAATAAACAGTCAGGGAAGCTCCAGGCTAGTGCACCTGAATTACCTTAGCTGAGAAAAACAATCAGGCAGAGGCAGCTCCATGGGGAAAAAAAGTCGACAGGATGTCGCAAGTCTACTGAGACAGAACTGCGATGCCCCCTTCACTCCACAGAGCTCATTTATTGCTCCTCAGTCTTGATCTTTCTTCACGCCCATCTTCAGTAGAGATCAAAGTCATCTCTCTGACGGCCCTCTCACAAAGAAATGACACCAAAAAATCTGCATTATGAGGGATGTTAACATGAAGGGCCAGACAGGCTCACTCAGTGGGCTTCACAGGGTTGGTTAGCCACAGCTGACACTCAAGAAGATCCTAGAACATGAATTAGATATGAGCCAAGGACAACAAAAAAGAACTCTCTCGTGGTTTGATGAAAAATTACCCACACCCACATAAAACTTTTAAATATATAAAACTGCTGAATTTTTAGTCCTTGAGACATTTTGTTCAGGAAAGTGATGTGTTTGCCTTGTGGTTGGAGGCATCACCTGAATGAAACATATACAGAGCTCTGACCTTGAGATGCAACTTTTTTTTTAGCGGACTGTGTTGTCCTTGTACAGAGAGACACCCCCTGTCTCCTCCGGAAGGAAATCCAAAGAAGTTGCCAGTAGAAGTTGGACAAAGATTCACAAATCAAAAACTACCGACTGAGGAATGGAGGTGGAGATGTCATTAACACTTTATGCCTCTGTGCTTCAGGCTCCCAAGAGTGAGAGAGTCCTTGCTGTTAGTGTATTGATCAACAAGCACTTAGAGAGGGAGTGGTGTTAAAAATGGAAATGACAAGTCACTGAGCAGCAAGCTACAGTATTGAGCACCACTGCACCACAGTGAAAGGGTTTACCTGACCCCTTAATAGTTTTATTTCCTTTAGTTGGGGCCTTTGCCTCTGCTCTTGGATAATTTTCACCTGCTTGAAAGTGAATCAGGCTGTTTATTTATTTAACACTGAAACCACCACGGGATAAGGGCTGAAGGGCAGACCAAATAATTATGTGATTATTCATAAGAGCTAATTTGTAGTCGGAAGTGTCAGGCATTGCAAACACGGCATTTAATTAAAGCATCTTTTTTTGTAAGTGTGGAAATAAATGGACACAGGAGGGAGGCACTCCGTTCAAGGGTTTAGATGATCTAGGAAAGCTATACCTGAATGTTGCACGTGTTTGTCAACTGGGCCCCGCAGGCAGCCGTTGCACTATGTGAGGGATTATAGACTTGTGGAGTCAGTGGTCTGTCCCCTCAGCAGCGCACCGGCCTGGCCCAGATGGAGCTTTCTCCCCAGGTCCCGGCGTTATTAATGTTCCGTCCAGATGAGGAACGAGCCCAGCTCATCTCGCCACCCCCTGGGGGACAACTGCCGCCACTGTACCGTACACAGGTTATGTTCCACAAAAAGAAAATAATAAATAAGCAACGCTCTGATAGAACAAATCAAAAGTATATATTTCAGAGGTCATTTGGTTTGGACACACATACAGAGCCTGGAGGAATGAACACTCCTTTATCTTTGGCCAAATTTTCAGAAACAGGCAGCCTCCCTGATGTGCTGTATTATTGGACATTAGCATCAAAATTTAACATCAAAGCACAAAGTGAAGATCAGTCCCATTGTTGAGTGTTTACTGCCTCATGAATAAAGCCAAATGGGGTTCTTTCAGCATTTCAGCTATTGATAACTGATTGGGTTGTTATTAGTTATATAGGGGGATGTGACAACAGCTTATGTGTCATGCTCAGCGGGGGTCCTTCTGTCAGATTATCCCTGTAGTGGGAATTGATGATTAACTCTGACAAGGAGAACTATGTCCCAGTTACGTCAAGGCCAACAAGCCTCTTGGTGAAGAACATCCCTTTTAACAAGTCAAACGCTCATATCTCTCCAACCTTGCCAGGCCAATCACATGCACTGAGATCTGGCGCTCATCACTGCGCCACTGCCTTTATCCCAGTGTAGGAGGCATGTAAGCCCCTATAGTATGGCTGTACACACACCGCCACATACATATACACTAATTTATTTAACACATGCATGTAGATGCCCTAATATGCACACATGCCACCACTTTGTGTTATCATGTGCTGCTGTACGGTAAACTCTTTCAACAAGAGATGCACTCAGATGCTCACTCACTGCTGATTACTGGTGGGGAATGAACCCTTCTGTTTGGCTGCAGGCGCGTATAGCCGAGCATGACAGGTTGTCATGGTACATTTGAGATACATCCAGGAGGGAAACGCACATGGACGCTACTTGAGGGGAGGGACAAGAAGTGCCGCAGTACATCCACATACATCATTGGTCAAGTAGATGCACAGATTACACAGTCCTTTAAACTGTTTGTCTCATTACATAGGAATGTAGTTTATCAAACAAAACACCTCCTTAATGGCAAACCTTTACCTTACATGTGTTTTGCATATCTGATCTCAGAGAGCTTATTTATTGCTTGTTTGCATGGATAGCAAAGTCCAAACTGATGACACCCAAGAACAGCCAAGCGAACATCTAATCCTCCCATTATAAAATCTCTGCCCCCCCGCAGTTTGGCTCTCATATTGTTCTATGCTACTGTGGTTGGCAAGACTCATACCTGCTGCAAATGTTGCCTGAGGGGATAGAGAGAAGGAGCACATTATACTGTACAATACAAAACTCCTTTCTCGTACTAACAAACAACCACACACACGCACACACAGGCAGACATAAGGAAAGACTAACTGTGAAATTCTCCTGGGTCCAAAAGATGTTTGTATCTTTGAAGACGCTGAAGATAATGATTGTGAAGCAGGTTATCTCCTCCATCTTTATCACATCCCACTGAGCTCCCACAGCATTGACAATGTGATTAGACTCTCAACCTGAACTCTTCCTGGAGAGGATCTGACCCTCAACTGGAATTGGAAGGTCTCCTTAGTTTTGTTTTTTGTTCCCGCTCCCTCTCTACATCATAATGTGCAGAGAGAGAAGAAAAGAAACACAAGGCTGTGTGGGAGATGCATTTTTGCAAATCTGTTTTGTACCCACATAAAGGAGTCATTGTTCATCCATTAATAGGCACGCACGTACGCACCTACATACAGACGCACACCAACTCTACAGGCACAAAGTTACACTCACTCATTGATGCTCAAAAATGCACAGACACATTCAAAAGGGAATTATAACATAGAATTAAACTTTTAAAAACTATATAGTTTAAATGTAAGAATATTAGCAGAAATTACCTCATATGTATTTTTAGTCATTGTAATTTCCACCATCAGTGCCAATGTTTTGCATTACTTCTGATATATGTCGCTGTATGTATGTGTAAGTGTAAATTCCAGCGTTACCTGTATGAATCTGAGGTCATGTAAAGTAGGAAAACCTTTCTGTGGCATTTCTAAGAATTAATTTGAATTCAAACACCATTCTGAAAGCAATCAAACGAAAACACAGGAATTCTTCTTCAAGTCTGCGGGTGCCGGGGTGTCTATTACAAATTCAGAAATTCAGAAAAGATGTGTGATTAGGCAGCCAAACGATATTTTCTGAATGGCTAATCAAACCTCAGCTCCCTCTTTTCTGAGAGTGGCAAAGATTAATGCAGAATAATGACTCTCTGAAGCTGACCTCGGGTTCAGGGGTCCAAGTCTCATTCCTGCTGTAATTATACACTTGCTTCATTTGCTTCATGCTCCTGTGACCCTTTGAATACTTCACTGCTGTTGCACAATTCTTGAACTGATACCTCTGTCTCATTAAGATGGATTTTTTTTGAATGATTGGCCGTTTGTTTAGTTATTAACTGAGTATTCAGGGCAATTGCAGAGCACTGACGTAA